AAAGTTCATAATAAAAACATTAACATCCATCTTTCTCCTGAACCAAACACCATACAAGTTGGTATGTTGTTTGATGTACATAAAACACCCTCTGTTTATTAAAGAAATTAGGATGCTCCCCCCAGCCCGGGGGGGGGGGGGGGGGGGGGGGGGGAGTGTTTCCTATAATGGCCTATACAGGGAGGTTCTACTCGAAAAAGGTACCTTTTTTAGCCTTAAGGTATATCAAAGGGTAAAGGAATCTGTCATTTCGGTCTGTAAAAGGGCCCAGCTGGGCTACCCGATATATTTTATGGCTTTGAACAGTTCAAGAAAACGTTCTGGTTACCGAAGAAGCATTTGCAGGTAAATAACAAAAATGCACGTTATTTCTCTCTCTCTTAGCTTCCCTCCGAAAGGATCAGGTTACTGTTTTAATTTATAATTAGGCATTGAATTGCTATTACTGAGCCAGGTCTACTAAAGATTCGACTGACCGCTCATTGGTTTGTTGCAGCTGTGGTTTTGTCTTCACGAATGTTTTTAACTTACAGGCTGCAGTTATAAGGGAAGCCAAGTTCTAAGCTAGGTATGTGAAAAAGGTACAATGTCAATAGAAGGTACTGGAAAGGGGTACCTTTTCTCATGGTGTATTAAAGAAGGGTAAGGAGTGTGAGGAGTAGAGCCTCCCCGTTTAAAAATGTATAGAGTACCCTCCCCCCCGGGTCCTCTCACAACCGAAATACAAGTCTTGGAAGTTACGATTCGAGTACTACAACTCTTACGAGTGGTTATTAGGGCCTAGGTCGACAAGGAATTTTTGTAGAAAAATGTTTTCTTCTAATGTGACGAGACTAGAAATATTCTATTAGGGAAGAAATATTTTAGTCTAAAAAGGTAAAACAATTTCGACTTTGATTAAACCAGTAACTTTTTCGTGCGTCTTAGGAAAGTAAATTTGCTCCCAAGACTCTTGCATCTAATAATTCAGTTAATGTTAATTTTTGCAGCGCACATAAACTTTAGCCTTTCAGTCTTTTTAGGGTGGTTACTAGAAGTTGATCGGGTCCATGATTAAATATAAGTTCTTACTGAAGAAATTCAATTATAGAGCTAATTCCAGTCACACGTATTCTTCTGGTCAATCGCAAATACTAACAGTCAAAGGAAGCGTAGTTGGTAGAACAGAGATCTTATGACGACTTGCTTGTCCACTGGTGATATGACTGTCCTTATTTGTAAGGGTTCAGTAGAATGCTATGCAACTTGCCAGGGAGGAATTCACGTACGGCAAGTCTTGCAAGTTACTCGTTAAGGCCGGCTGTATCTTACGTGTGCGCAAGGGCACTGCAACCGTGGAATCGTCATGTTAAGAAAAGCCGGCAACCCCTTCAATATGATTCTTAGGGTTGTATTTGGCATTGATCAAACAGCGAAAGGGTGTAAATGGAATTGGCTCCAGAAAACACTTGTGATTACTAATTTCTACGTCTTTCCCCCAGAAAATGAGATGGGCGAGAAGAATCTTGGGAAGGAGGTTGCGCATGATTGTGAATCTCCGTTGTGGATTCCTACACGGCTGTACGTTCGCAAAGTCAGCTATACACTAATTCATAAAACTACCAATACCTTTGCTCTTCCTTGGTGTATAAGGCCAATATATTCGAGCATGGTGCAGAGAACAAAGAAGAAAGATGTCATCAGATACACATCAATGACCTTCACGTAGGAAACTCTTGGCAAGGAGGAATTGACGGCGCCCCAGATAGTTGATATGGTGAGAAGTGTTGTAATGCACAGACCTACACGAGCGGGTGTCGCGCGACTATCAATGAACAGCGACATCCAAGCTACAAATACCACCGCAATGCAAGGTATATAGATTTGAATCAGGTAAAAACCCATTCTCCGTTTAAATGTGAATGTCGCTTGCAGAACTGAATACTCTCCTAGGAGATAGGAAAATGAAATTAAGGTTAGTCAAAAGAGAACTGATCGATGTAATCAGAGGCAGCCTGGCCGAGCGGTTCGGAGGGCCGGACTTGTAGTCGGAGGTCCCGAGGTCAAGTTTCGTGTTGACGAGTAGCTAGATTTGTTCTCGGTACAGTTGAACCCCTTTCTACCATGTGTCTTCGGACACCAGCTTAATGCGAACACTGGTACATATGACGGAAAGTTTTGTTTGTCCCAACAAAAAAGAAGGTCACATTTTCTCTAAAATTAACCTGCTCAATACGGACACCCGGTTAATACGGACACTATTGCATGCGCCGTCGGTGTCCGTATTAACCAATTTCCAGTATAGTGCCGAGTTTAATTCCTTGAACAGGCTTGTAACATAGCCAACTGGTTCGTCTTCTACCAGTTGGGATTCTAATCATGTTGTTTCATTGAAATTATTTGATTATTTGTTGATTATCTCTGAAAATCCCCACAAGGAGAGAAGATAATTAAAGTATCATATTAATTAATTAATTAATTTATTATTATTATCTTTGATATTTTATTATTGTTATAATGTAGAAACTTCTACTCACCTGCGACATACTGGACTCTTTGTACATCAGTGGTCATATCCTTCATGAAAAACTGCGCCATTTCTTTGTCTAGTACCATGACCGATGGTGTCTTCCAGTTGTAAATCAGATGTTGGGTGGGGTATGCGTCTAAAAAGAAACACGTTTAAGTTACCTTAACAGCAACGAGGCTGCCTTTGTTATGTTTTTTTGAAGTTTTTTTTTTCTAGTCAACACCCTTGAGATAAGCGCCATCGATAGCGCAAGGGGATGTACCCAACAGACAGCGGAGCCATGGTCTACGGCCACCCGCTTACCACTTAATACGACTACCTGTATATAATAAAAAGTTTCGTTTATTTAGACGAAAAGCTTATATTTTTTCTCTAAAATTTACATGCTTAATTCGGACATCGGTTAATACGGAAAACAGACAATTTCTTGTGTCCCGAATCACAAACTCCCATATATCGTCAACCCCGCCCCGGTTTGCGGACACTGTTTTTCAACGCACGTTCTATATGATTGAATATCTTTGCAAAGAACCTAACCGAAACGGCAAATGATGATTTGCTGCCCTTGACTGTCTATTTTGTCACAATCATGTGCTGTAGACATTGTACCCTGAATAAATATTGACAGATTTTCTTTTTATATTTGTTTGATTTTGATGAGTCCGCCCATCTTTCTTAATGTGTTTGACTATTTGGTAGTGCCAGCCTTTATTGAAGTTATCCGCCTCCTGCTACTCAATTTTCGCTTCCTTAGCTTTTTGCTGCAGTCATTGTTCCTACTCTTTCTTTCTTTGCCTTCTTTAGTCTTCAATAAATCACGTGCATGTCCGTGACGAATTTTCTGACAGCCCACTTAATTTGGACACCGGGATAATACGGACACCATGTCATGTCCCTTTGGTGTCCCTATTAACCAGGTTCCACCTTACTTCCCTCAAAAACAAGCAAGCTGCCTATAAAATGTTAGCGAAAGGAAGAAAATGAAACAACAAAATGTGCGGTTACCGACCTGTTCAGACGTTCCTCTTCAGGAAACGTCTTTTTGTCGACGCATTTGTCGGTAAGAAGTTGATAAGCTGCCCAAGAGGAGACGTACAAAACCGAGTATAACCAAATGTAAAATCAAAAGGCAGTTAGTTTTGTTACTTACAGCTAACAATGTTGAGTGTACATTTTTGTTCGTCTAACGGAAAGGTACGAAAATCCATGTGACACTTGGCTTGAACAGTTGCTCTGTGATATAAATTAAACACTGCCTTAGTAATATAATAATAATTTATTATCTATTAGGCGCAAAATAGCATTCAAATATATGATCTACTGCGCACAAGTACTTGTGGTTACGTTAAAACCACGGTAGCCTGCTTCTTTAATCTCAAGTTATTATTATATAAGTACCCGAGTGTGAACGGTAATCTTTAACAAAGGGTTATTGTAGTTAGTATAGATTTTCTTCACTCAGACACCCCGCGTTCAGTCATTTTAAGTTACATCTATACACAAGACATAAAACATAAGTCCCGGGGGGAATCCCTAGAATGGCCTCTAAGGGGAGGCCCCCGGAAAGGGTAGGAATTTTAGTTGAATAATATAAAAGGGTAGAGAAATCTGTCATTTCGTTCTGTAAAAACCCAAAAGGGCCATCAGAAGGATTTTATGGCCAGATGGCTGTGAGAAAGTCGAGAAAAGCCCTCTTCTGATCGCAAAATAAACTTGTTTCCGCCACTGAGACATTCTCGCTTAAACCTGTAGTGGAATGACTACGGCTATTACATTTTCCCTCCAAAATGACGCTGGTTCACGAGGGCGCACTACTTAGACCTCACCTTAGATAAAGGTCTAATAAATTTCACACACCAACCTTGTTCCCCAGTCTACCTGACCGTCGGCTGAGATATCGATCTTGTGATTGGTTGTCAATACATTATGCATGTAGGACTTGGTGGCGTCTACAAACACGGTGTCTGGGACCCAGATATAATCCGCAGGGTGTTTAGTTCCCATGGTAAGAGTTATCTTGGAAGTCAAGTTATGAGACAGTCTTTGGTCTTTCCAATGCTGCCGAAAAAACATGTCCAGTCCGAATTCCTAAAAAAGTATTTAAAAATACACTGATGTAACAGGCTTAATTGATAATATTACCCGGCTCGAAGCATCAGCTTTGTTGGAATTGCTATGATACATATAGCATGAAATTAGAATTGATATGCTTATTCGTGAATAAGCCTCATAACCATAAAATTAAAGAAAATTGGGGTTCAGCCCGAAGTGTTTAAAATGTATTACCATATCCACTTCCTTGATGCTGGAAAACGATGCCACCGAAATACCAACTAGGATTTCAACTGGATTTCCTTCAGAAAGAAAAAAAAAGAAAAATGAAAATGATCGAAATAAATTTTACGTATTATAATAGACTTTGTAGAGTAATCTAGAATTAAATTTTGTTATATATATGTTCAACAGCGGGCCAGCTGTAGCATGCACATTCACATTCTAAGTGACTGATTTGTTTTATAAATATCAGTTTTATAGCTATCCAAAGCGCACATTGTTGTTGGGAACAGCTCCTTGGTTTATTCGTGAAATTTCTTCGTTTGGTACAGTAGCAAATCGGTAAGCCATTTTGCTAGTAACTTACGCGAGTTTGGCTTCGCTCTGAGGTGAATAGCACTGGACTTTCCGAGTTTGAGCAGCCAACCAGAGCGCGCGAAAAACGCTATCCGCTGTTTTAGCATATACAAATATCTTTTATTCATTAAACTGTTATTTTTCATATTTTTTTTTTATCTAGCCGGATTTATAAAAAAATCGCACCAGCTGACCAGTCTTGGCCAGCCAGCTTAACTTGACATTAATCAATCAAGAGGCCAATAAACAAATTGATGTAAAGAAACTCAGCTTTTACCCATAAGCCTTCTAACTTGAGTCTCCTCTTGACTCCTAATTAGCAAAGAAATATTTATGTCTATTACAAAGACACTCCAAACTTGCTCATCTCTAGCTTAAGGTTCTATATCTGAATGACTCCCCTAAGACATAAGCTTCCCCTAAAAAGAGAATTTTAATTCTCTTTTAAAAAAGCCTCTCCCATTCCCTTGCCCCCACCACGACTTGTCACAGTCTCCCCTCCTCTGAAAATTATCACTGTTTATTAAGCCACACACAAATAAGAAAAAAGTATAAACAGGTTTAATAACCGACTAACAATACCGGAGTAGTTTGGCCTAATTCGAGGATCAGACCCACGAAGAAGATCTTGCAGTCCCTCGCTTAACTTCTGATCTGCTAAAATTTCTGATCTGTTGAAATGCAACAGGACAACAAGATTACCGTCAATGATAAATAAGTTTATTTAAGGCCGTGGACTCAGTCGTTGAGATCGAGAGTGTTCTTCAAGACCCACCCTCTTTGCAGTGTCCCTTTACGTTACCCATAGTTTGGTTCAGTGTAATGCGTTTGTGAAAGTCCTTAAAACCTACCACACTCAAGCACTAATAATTATATGGTCATATCCTTCATGAAAAACTGCGCCATTTCTTTGTCTAGTACCATGACCGATGGTGTCTTCCAGTTGTAAATCAGATGTTGGGTGGGGTATGCGTCTAAAAAGAAACACGTTTAAGTTACCTTAACAGCAACGAGGCTGCCTTTGTTATGTTTTTTTGAAGTTTTTTTTTTCTAGTCAACACCCTTGAGATAAGCGCCATCGATAGCGCAAGGGGATGTACCCAACAGACAGCGGAGCCATGGTCTACGGCCACCCGCTTACCACTTAATACGACTACCTGTATATAATAAAAAGTTTCGTTTATTTAGACGAAAAGCTTATATTTTTTCTCTAAAATTTACATGCTTAATTCGGACATCGGTTAATACGGAAAACAGACAATTTCTTGTGTCCCGAATCACAAACTCCCATATATCGTCAACCCCGCCCCGGTTTGCGGACACTGTTTTTCAACGCACGTTCTATATGATTGAATATCTTTGCAAAGAACCTAACCGAAACGGCAAATGATGATTTGCTGCCCTTGACTGTCTATTTTGTCACAATCATGTGCTGTAGACATTGTACCCTGAATAAATATTGACAGATTTTCTTTTTATATTTGTTTGATTTTGATGAGTCCGCCCATCTTTCTTAATGTGTTTGACTATTTGGTAGTGCCAGCCTTTATTGAAGTTATCCGCCTCCTGCTACTCAATTTTCGCTTCCTTAGCTTTTTGCTGCAGTCATTGTTCCTACTCTTTCTTTCTTTGCCTTCTTTAGTCTTCAATAAATCACGTGCATGTCCGTGACGAATTTTCTGACAGCCCACTTAATTTGGACACCGGGATAATACGGACACCATGTCATGTCCCTTTGGTGTCCCTATTAACCAGGTTCCACCTTACTTCCCTCAAAAACAAGCAAGCTGCCTATAAAATGTTAGCGAAAGGAAGAAAATGAAACAACAAAATGTGCGGTTACCGACCTGTTCAGACGTTCCTCTTCAGGAAACGTCTTTTTGTCGACGCATTTGTCGGTAAGAAGTTGATAAGCTGCCCAAGAGGAGACGTACAAAACCGAGTATAACCAAATGTAAAATCAAAAGGCAGTTAGTTTTGTTACTTACAGCTAACAATGTTGAGTGTACATTTTTGTTCGTCTAACGGAAAGGTACGAAAATCCATGTGACACTTGGCTTGAACAGTTGCTCTGTGATATAAATTAAACACTGCCTTAGTAATATAATAATAATTTATTATCTATTAGGCGCAAAATAGCATTCAAATATATGATCTACTGCGCACAAGTACTTGTGGTTACGTTAAAACCACGGTAGCCTGCTTCTTTAATCTCAAGTTATTATTATATAAGTACCCGAGTGTGAACGGTAATCTTTAACAAAGGGTTATTGTAGTTAGTATAGATTTTCTTCACTCAGACACCCCGCGTTCAGTCATTTTAAGTTACATCTATACACAAGACATAAAACATAAGTCCCGGGGGGAATCCCTAGAATGGCCTCTAAGGGGAGGCCCCCGGAAAGGGTAGGAATTTTAGTTGAATAATATAAAAGGGTAGAGAAATCTGTCATTTCGTTCTGTAAAAACCCAAAAGGGCCATCAGAAGGATTTTATGGCCAGATGGCTGTGAGAAAGTCGAGAAAAGCCCTCTTCTGATCGCAAAATAAACTTGTTTCCGCCACTAAGACATTCTCGCTTAAACCTGTAGTGGAATGACTACGGCTATTACGTTTTCCCTCCAAAATGACGCTGGTTCACGAGCGCGCACTACTTAGACCTCACCTTAGATAAAGGTCTAATAAATTTCACACACCAACCTTGTTCCCCAGTCTACCTGACCGTCGGCTGAGATATCGATCTTGTGATTGGTTGTCAATACATTATGCATGTAGGACTTGGTGGCGTCTACAAACACGGTGTCTGGGACCCAGATATAATCCGCAGGGTGTTTAGTTCCCATGGTAAGAGTTATCTTGGAAGTCAAGTTATGAGACAGTCTTTGGTCTTTCCAATGCTGCCGAAAAAACATGTCCAGTCCGAATTCCTAAAAAAGTATTTAAAAATACACTGATGTAACAGGCTTAATTGATAATATTACCCGGCTCGAAGCATCAGCTTTGTTGGAATTGCTATGATACATATAGCATGAAATTAGAATTGATATGCTTATTCGTGAATAAGCCTCATAACCATAAAATTAAAGAAAATTGGGGTTCAGCCCGAAGTGTTTAAAATGTATTACCATATCCACTTCCTTGATGCTGGAAAACGATGCCACCGAAATACCAACTAGGATTTCAACTGGATTTCCTTCAGAAAGAAAAAAAAAGAAAAATGAAAATGATCGAAATAAATTTTACGTATTATAATAGACTTTGTAGAGTAATCTAGAATTAAATTTTGTTATATATATGTTCAACAGCGGGCCAGCTGTAGCATGCACATTCACATTCTAAGTGACTGATTTGTTTTATAAATATCAGTTTTATAGCTATCCAAAGCGCACATTGTTGTTGGGAACAGCTCCTTGGTTTATTCGTGAAATTTCTTCGTTTGGTACAGTAGCAAATCGGTAAGCCATTTTGCTAGTAACTTACGCGAGTTTGGCTTCGCTCTGAGGTGAATAGCACTGGACTTTCCGAGTTTGAGCAGCCAACCAGAGCGCGCGAAAAACGCTATCCGCTGTTTTAGCATATACAAATATCTTTTATTCATTAAACCGTTATTTTTCATATTTTTTTTTTTTATCTAGCCGGATTTAAAAAAAAATCGCAACAGCTGGCCAGTCTTGGCCAGCCAGCTTAACTTGACATTAATCAATCAAGAGGTCAATAAACAAATTAATGTAAAGAAACTCAGCTTTTACCCATAAGCCTTCTAACTTGAGTCTCTTCTTGACTCCTAATTAGCAAAGAAATATTTATGTCTATTACAAAGACACTCCAAACTTGCTCATCTCTAGCTTAAGGTTCTATATCTGAATGAGCCTAAGACATAAGCTCCCCCTAAAAAGAGAATTAAAAGCCTCTCCCACCCCCTTGCCCCCACCACGACTTGTCGCAGTCTCCCCTCCTCTGAAAATTATCACTGTTTATTAAGCCACACACAAATAAGAAAAAGGTATAAACAGGTTTAATAACCAACTAACAATACCGGAGTAGTTTGGCCTAATTCGAGGATCAGACCCACGAAGAAGATCTTGCAGTCCCTCGCTTAACTTCTGATCTGCTAAAATTTCTGATCTGTTGAAATGTAACAGGACAACAAGATTACCGTCAATGATAAATAAGTTTATTTAAGGCCGTGGACTCAGTCGTTGAGATCGAAAGTGTTCTTCAAGACCCACCCTCTTTGCAGTGTCCCTTTACGTTACCCATAGTTTGGTTCAGTGTAATGCGTTTGTGAAAGTCCTTAAAACCTACCACACTCAAGCACTAATAATTATATTGGCACGATTGCTTTTTCGTCCATACTACGCAAATCAAAGACAGCCTTTGATTTTAGATTCCACGCCATGGATTCAGGATTCCAGGCACTATACTTTAGATACTTTGTTGATTCCAGTCTTTGTATGATTTCGGATTCCTTGAACTGTAGTCCGGACTCCAAAGCTCAAGATTCCAATTTCACATGCAAAAATTTGACAGCAGTATCTGTGGATGGCCAGAATGAGTTTCTATGAGTTTACAAACTGATCTTAAATTAGTGTGAACACACAGTCAAAGGCTTAAAGCAATCAAATACTCCTACTTTTCTCGGATTAAATGAGAAAATGAGTTTTTTTTCAGCTCAGTTTTGTGAGTGAACGTTGGGCGTTGTTTGCATAGGAATTGTGAAATTTTATTTTATTTGTTATTTCTCGTGAGATGCTTCTTCGTTGAGCACTCCTTGATTGAACATTTTTGCGACGTAAAATTAACGACTTAATAGTGACATAAAAACGCGTTTAAAACTTACCTATGGCAAATGCAGCACTGAGAACCAATTAAGATTCCAAGAACTAATCTCATTGCACAAGCAAGAGGGGTTTTTCTGAAGTTAACAGCTGCACGAGTCATGTTTCTCATTTTCCGGCCGTTATGTTTCAGGAAGAGAGAGTCAAATTGTGTACAACACGCAAAGACTGAAATAATTACAAAACCACTGCTTACAATCTGCTACCCATAGCTCCGGGCATCAATTAAGTTGGATCTTCCGGAAAAAAGCTGGTCAGAAATGTTTCCCCTTGAAACCGAAAATTATTATTTTCATAGCTAGGAATGCACTTAATTTTAGCAGATGGTTGAGCTACTGAGTCCACAAAGATACCAGCCATCTGTTTAATCATAGGTTCACAATACAAGACTTAATTGCTCCAAGGAGCGGGCTGATAAGTTTGCGCGCAAAAGACTGCATCAAATCAACTTCCCAAAATGCGGTAAGGGAGCATTGCGCAGAAATGTAGAGATGATATCGCTCGCTCCGGTGCCAACGCAGTACAAGTTACGTGTAGGTAGGACATTTTAGTATTCCAAAACCCACTAATTAACTTTGTTGAAAATTAAAATTACCGCAGCACTTTGGCTATTAGTAAACACCGAAAGCACTTATAAAGGACATCAATATATAATCAAACAAATGTAATTTTTGTCTTTTACTGGATGGCATGGAATACATTCTTGGTGTCAGCAAGTCTTACAACAAAAGTGTTACAGCAGTAAGGCTCGAGAATTTCATGTTAAGAAATCTTCCGTTTTGATGCACTATGCACCTTCTGGCTTCTTCACATCCATGGCATTTTCTCCCTTAATACACTAAGCTAAAAAAAAATTACTACAGCTATTTTTGTCGACTTTTTTTAAGAACCAAATTATGAAAGTGAAGGTCAATCAGTATTCCAGCCACACTCCTCTTTACACTGTTCTTTGGTAAGGACATAATAGGCCTTTGCTCCTTCCTGCGTCTCCAGAACCGCGCTTATTTCCTTGTAAACTAACTATGAGTGCAGAGAGACAGCAGCGAGAGTTTTAATTCTCTTTGATGATTCCTGCTCTGTATAGAATTTTGTTAGCAGAATAAGAATTACTTTAATTCGTTGTTGTCAGAAACGTACTTCTTTAGATCCCTTGATTGTACACGACCTGATTTTAAAAAAGGCTTAATTTGTCGGGGAAAAAAATCAAAAATAAAATTACATGCCAGTGACCAAAGATGAAATTGGCCTCATTTATCGTTCTTTAATACACCGGCTTGGGGCTGCGTGACCATGTCGGCGGTTTGAGATGACTTTGATTACAAAATTGGCACCACATCTTGGGTAAATTAGAACGACTTCTAATGATTTGATTTGGCTAATCTTTTACTTATTGATCTGTATTAGAATATTCAGTAGAAACCATTTACCTTTGCGTGCTTATTGTTTTTGATGGAGAAGCAAGGATAACCTTATAAAACTGTTACAAAGCAAGTGGGAAGTTATACTACAACTTTCATCTCATAGGTTCAATTTCAATTTAAACAGAAAAATTACATCAAAAGACACTACAGATGTTTTGCCTAATGTAATTTTGAGTTCCCGGAGTCTTAATTCTAAGACTAAGTTAGCTTATTTGATTTATCAGTACAAATGATTAATCAAATAATCAAATCGTCAAATCAAGTCTGAGTCTGATGTGAGTTGGTAATGCCCAATAAGTGGATTATACATAGCTCTAGAAATCGAATTAAGGGTAGATCATATTAGGTGTATATATCTTATTTAATTTTTGAGGTAAAGGTATTTTTTAAGATAGCCTAAGATAAAAACCTCAGAAAATGGTGACTAGATTTACATAAAAGACACTACAGATGTTTTGCCTAATGTAATTTTGAGTTCCCGGAGTCTTAATTCTAAGACTAAGTTAGCTTATTTGTTTTTTCAGTACAAATGATTAATCATATAATCAAATCGTCAAATCAAGTCTGAGTCTGATGTGAGTTGGTAATGCCCAGTAAGTGGATTATACATAGCTCTAGAAATCGAATTAAGGGTAGATCATATTAGGTGTATATATCTTATTTAATTTTTGAGGTAAAGGTATTTTTTAAGATAGCCTAAGATAAAAACCTCAGAAAATGGTGACTAGACTTACATAAATGATTTACGATATTGCCAGAATTCTCACTTTTTTCAAGGTAGGAGGTCGCTCAAAAGTGCTGTTGGATGAGCTTGGTTGGGAAAGACTTCAAGAAACTTCTAGGTGGAAACAACTTGCTATCTGCATGTACAAGATGATAAGTAATCTTTTCCCATCATACTTGAAGCAGATCTTTACCGATACAGCAAATGTTCTTGCTTATAACATTAGAAACTCAGAGTTAAATTACTACATTCCTAGACCTCGGACTGAGTTTGGAAGGGGGAGCCTACAGTATCGAGGATCAGTTCTATGGAATAGGATTTCCCCTGTGTTCAGAACTTTGCCCATCTTAAGAGACTTCAAGACCTCACTGAATGGGAAAGATTGTTATTTTCAGATCCGGCTGAATATGATAAAATCCGTATTTTTATCATATGTGTATATACACATTTTTCTAATTTCTATATCTAAGTTAAGTCTAGCGTTATAAGTAATAAAATATAGTTAACAATTATTGCTCGAGTCGGAATGGCTCTGCTCTGAGTCAATAGCCCATGAGGGCGAAGGGAATAATTGTTTTAGTAAAATCCAACTAGTTGGTCAAAAATATCGAGAATAAAAAAAAAGCTAGTTAAAGACAGACTTTATTCCTTTTTTGCCGCCAAAAAGCTGGCGTTTTTCTCTACTAGTGGGCTATAACATATAGCCTAGTAGTAGCTCAACCAATCAGAACGCAGCATTGATAATAGACCACTAGTTGGATTTTAGTAAATGTCTTTTATATATTTTATTGTTGTAGAATATTATATGTCATAGATCGTAGATAGTTAGACACGATTCCTTGGAAAACCACTTTTATTCTAGTTCTTTAGTCGTCTGAGAGCAAATATCTTCGCTCTGAAGTCACCGATGTCACGGGTATTGTCAAGCGGCTTTAAATAAATCCGTAAAAGTGTTAGTTTTTCGGTACCAAAACGTGGGGGAGCTCTGCCCCCCACATTTTTGTTTGGGGGGCTACGGACCCCCTTGCCTGCACTGCTCCGCCGCCTATGTGATTTCTTCTTTCCTATGCTATGTGGTCCTCGGGCCTCTTTGTGGCCATTTTTTGGATTTTATTGGGAACGGTTTGTTCGCTCTATAATCCTTTCAAATCAAGACATTTTGCGAGAACAAAACTACTTATGCGATTGAAAGTTGTTCAATACATGGTTTG